TTTTAGTGAAGGGATTCAATATATATCATAGTATGTGATGAGCCAAAGTACACAGTGCTGCTCCAAACCACTGACCAGACCCTAAGTTTTGTTTTAGTCAAATATTCAGATAATCAGAACTGCAGGCAGGCACAGGAGGTGTAGAGAAGCCAATTACTATTTAGCACTGAAGATCCACGGAAACCATGGCAGAATGGTTTGCACAGCATTTTGCTATGATGTTGACACTTTGCTTTCCATCAACATTCACAAAAATGCTTTTGGGATGTGAGTGCCAAGAACTTACTGTTTTTAGACAGTTAGGAAATTTTGCTTCTGTTTACTTCACATGTACCACAACTTAAACAGCAAGACTTTTTTATGGATACAATTGTGCTGGCAAATGAATTCGTCCAGCAGCAAAAAGAAGTATGAAATAAGGAAACAGACATTATGATGTATTATGAATCTAGATATTACAATAGGAGCAGGCTGTTCCCAGAAAGTGCTACAAAGAATTAAACGGAGAGTGAGAAATTAAAAGGAAGAAGTGATAAAAATAATGCATATCAGTTAAAGTTCCATGTATTTCTCTATCTTCTCTAATTATTTTTAACACTGTGAAACATACTACACTATATTTGGGTCTTGTTATTTTATTTTCAGGTTCATATCTGCATGAAGAAAAAAGAGCTCATTTGCTGAGCTTAATTAGAAGCACAAACTCCTGAAAGTTAATACAGTGCTGAAATTTCTTTGGGACATCATATGACATCAAAAAAGTACTGGAATTTATGCAACAGTACAGCATAAGAACAAATTACCAGCACCAGCAGACAGGTAGCTATTCTTAATAAAGTTCATAGCAAGTTCCCAGAGAACACTTTGCCAAGAGAAACTTCCTAGGAAAATAATGACAGAAAAAAAATACCTTGTTTTCAAAGGAACAAGCCTTTTTAAACAGTGCGTTACAGTTCTGTTCGTCTTGGTGCAATAAGAATGCAACCAGGTGACTTTTGCAGAGCTATTTTTTCCACTGCTAAATCATACAAATGTCACAAAGATGAGGACAGTACACAAGCTGAAAACTGGATGCCACAGTAAACAGATTTTTATTCAGTAGTGCTGAAACATGAGCCAAGATCCAAGCTAAAGTTCAGCCCTCCAACTCTGTCTTGACTACTTCCTACTATTATATGTGAGATTCTTTCACACAGCCTCTGAAGTAAGTGTCTGAGCTCCTGTGGGGATTGTTCAAGGAACTGAAGTAATGCTATAAACTCTCCTAAACTCTGTCAACCAAAAGATAAGGCAGAAACCTTTTTTTTTCCTCACAGAGTGACATTATTCAGGGACGGGAAGCAAAAAGAAGAAATTTTTTTTAAGGGAAAAAGGTAGTCAACATACAGTGGTTAGCATTATAAAGCAAAGCTTATCTATGATGATGCTGGAATTTTTTACTTCTATAGAATTAAATATATAATAAGACATAGCTGTACAAAATTGCAATTAGTAGAAACCTTAAAAATTAGTTGTGCCCACTGTGAACGTCATACAAAATGAAAGAAATCAACAGCAACTCACTGAAAAAATTGCTGGTTTTGTAAAAATGACTTACATATTAATTATATTCACTGTACTCTAATAATCCATCTTTGTAAGACTTCTTCAGCTTCAGATGGTCTTTTAATTAATAACACAGCCAAAATACTTTCCCAGCCTTGCACAATTAAATACATGAAATGATGCTTCTGGAAAGCTGACAGTCTTAAAACAAAGATGTTCAGTATTGATTTCTCACATGAGAAAACTTCTTCTGGCAATACGGCTCTTCCAGCAAAGCCTGTTATTCCTACCTAGGTTTAACATGTTCTTTGAATGTTTTGTGAATTTGCTTTTTCGTGGGAGCATTAGCTTTCTGGATTCATGAATACTGAACAGGAATGAGAAAGCATTTCATCAAATTTAATACTCACTGTAAGTCTGAATACCAAACTGTTGGTCCTACGTTTTATTTCATTAAGGCAATGTATCATTTCTGCTGTGATAACAGAAGCAGTCGACACTTCTGGAGATCAAAGCAAATTACAAACAAGCCTGCCAAGCTGAACATATGTAATTCTATATGTACTGCTGCATACAATCCACATCCTGACTTAGACTTGCAACAAGACAAAGATCATCTTTGTGTATTTATATGGCCTGCACTTAGTACGGTGGTGTGCAGGTCCTCGAGTCCTTACTTTAACACTACAACACTATAACCAATAAATTTTGCTTACATGATTGGTGTTCTGGTATACAAAAGATCTGCAAATAAGCCATTCCCTCTTAAACCACATGGGCAAGTCACTGGTAAGAATTTCAGAGTAACTGCAGATTCATCTAGCTTTAAACACCAGGAAGAGTTTGAAGAATTCAATCTGTTGACACTAGACCAGTTATACATAATACTTCACAGCAGTGTTATGAGAAATCACTCAAACATGAAATATACGCCAAATTTTTACACCTGATAATACTCCCAGATGAACATCTCAGCATGTCTCCAATACAGGCTTCAAGATTACTGTTACCTTCCTTCAATAAAGCATACTTCTTCATTTGTCCTTACAATAACAAAGGAGAAAAATAGAGTATCATCTGGAGAATTACACTCAAGCAGACATTTTGTACAGCTACATAATATATGACTGTTTGTGTCTCTGGAGGTTAAAAATGAGACAAAAGGCACTTTGAGTACTTCATAATTACTCATAAGTTTTAGCTCCATCTCTGTAAAAAAGAAAACCTACCTATTGTCTCTACTAGTGATCTAAATACTTTTTTTATCTGCTATCGGGAATAAATTGATTAATTACTTAATTTTGTTAGAATGATTAAGTTACACTTTTTAGGCAGAAGTAGTATCTAGGAGTTCAAAAGCATGGATCTCACACAAGGCAGAAAAGGTACTGAAGCTTTCACAGCATTTCTACGTGTACTGGAGGAAATCACACTCACTGGGGTGAAATAACTGGAAAGAAGTACCTATATACTATGTGAAGCCAACCAAGGCTAAGATAATAAAGAAAAATTGGCAAGAAAGAAAGGAATGTCCTTCACATGCGGTCAGCTAACTAAGAGGTATAACTGCTTCTGGACTATAGTGTCAATATTTTAGGGTTTTTTTCAGACACACAGACATGGTACAGGTAAGAGAAAAAAAGATACACCCTGCGCTCTAATATACTCCTGATGTCTGTCCTGTAAAATAATACACCATAAATATGTGTAACAGACTAGAACACTTGATCATTTAAATTCACATGCAATCCTTAAAGCAACCACTTACCACTGTAATTAAAAATGGCAACAAAAGTCAGCAGGTATGAAACTAGACACCTTCGAAAGCAAGGGGACATTTGGATGGCTTTGTTTGGAGCAATTTCTTCACAGAACAGTAGATAAAAACACCCATTGGTGATGTTTAAGAACCCAGAAGCACCAGTGAGCTGTTTTAATAGCCTAATTATTTATTAGGAAAAATATTTAGAAGAGTAATTACTAAAGGTAAGTAGAGGAGACAAGTCCAGAGGTAAAAAAAGTCACCTTCCAACACAAAAAAGATCAGCTGTATCATTAATAGCCTGAAAACCGCTTTTTTGGTAATGCTTTGAAGATACACATCTTGCAAGAGAGATTGATCTCAAGGAATGAGAAAAATACACACACATAATGACTTTTTCTATGTCCCTCCTACTACAACCACCTTACCTTTGGGATTTTACATATGAATAAGAAAAAAACCCAATGTAATTCAATATCATCCTCTTAAAACAGTCATAACAAAAATTGAGGCTTTCCTGAAAGGGAGCCAAGGAAAAGAAAATTGCACTGCTGGTATCTTTTGCAGCTGTTTATATCAAATATTCCTTTCAAACAGGACTGCATAGGAATAAAACTAGATGGGGTTTAGAGGCAAAAGAAAGGCACACAAGGAAGCTTTAGAGAAAGGGTGGTGGGGATCACAAATTAAATCCTAAAACTAGGCAGTATTCATGCAGAAATATGCCTGTCAGTCTACAGGTTGAAGGACCCAGCCTCAAAGGCTATGTAATTACATTACAGAACCAATTTAAAAATGAATGTAACATGGTTTCTAATACACTGAAACTTTTTAATGCAGTTTATATAAAGGAACGTTAACCTCAGATATCAACAAGTAATACGTTCTGAATCTTGCACAACTAAATTACAATGCGAGCAGTGCCAGAACAGAAAGGAACCACATATATAAGTATATCATTAGTCTAAATGGAGGATGGCCACCTTCCACATGCTCAGGGGCCCTTTTATTCCCAGCCACATCTCAAGGTAAAAACCAATACAATTTCTATGAGGCTAATCCTGTTAGACCCAACACCCGTTCATACCCCCCCACCTTCTTCCCCAATGGCAGGCACAGGACTGTGCCACCCTTGAGGTGACCTCCTGAGCACCCGGCGCTCCTGAGAGCCCACGGGCTGTCAGCATGTCCTCTGTGGTCTTCCTCGCTTATAACAGATTGTGGCCAACTTTAACTCTGCCCTTAAAGTCAACATGAAACAGTTCCCTAGATAGTCCTGCAATGAATGTTATCTGCAGACTGTGGTATTTTGGCGAAAGAGAAAATGAGACAAAATATACAAGTACACTTTTCTTTCTTTCCAAAAAGCTATCTTTTTGTGGTGATGGCTTCTAACACATACATTCCAGTCCTTCTAAAGCTAGCAGCACAACTGGAAGATGACACATAACCAAGAAGATATTCTTCCTCTAAAAATATACTGTGCCTCTTGAGCACTGCCCACTTCCGAAAAAAAGACTGGAAGGTCTTAAGGTGACTACACCAAGAGTTCAGATTTCAGAGGGACTGTCTAAGTTTAGTAGGTTAGAAGAGTTCAAATTACAAAAATAATTGCTATCTAAATCACACAGTCATAAAATCAAGGTGCAAAAAGCAGCACTGAAAGATTTTTTTCTCCATTTGACATACTCACCAAACCTGCAATGGGGGTCGGTAGTCTATTGATCTTTTTTACCAATCCCGGCTTTATTGCGTTCAGCAACCTGTTACGAGAAAGGAGTATTTATGAGTGGTAAGTCACAAAACCCAAATTATCCAACACTTGTCCCCAGCACATAAGGATTTCCGTATGGCTGGAAAGGAAGATGTTCCCCTTTCTCCCCTCCTGAGAACACATGTGTGTACCCAAAGACCCATCATTGAAATTAAGAAAAACTAGAGGGAAAATATCCACAGCAGAGTACCACAACAATATTTCTTTCATACCCTAAGTGTATCTAGATCACATCAGTCTTCACGGGCTGTGGGTGAATTCTGTCACATCAGTCTGCCTCCATTGCCTAGAGGCAAGTCACGCCTAGAAGGGCCTGAGAGCAGAAACCTAGAAGGCATCCGGGTATCACCATAGCTTGGGAAGAACGGTCCAGCAGTTTCTGCACTGCAGGAAAGTGAGAAAGGGCGTACACTTTAGGGGTGGCCTGTCTATTTTTCTGCATCAGTACTTGTAATTAAATGCCATCCTTGCATATGTTGTAGAGAACAGAGGTCCCCATAAAACGTAAATGTGAGAAGACAAACAGAAAGGGAGTCCAAAAAAACCCACCTAATGAAAACGTCATTAGGCCAGTGATACCACAGTTGAACACTGTTCAGTGTCCAAAGATTAGCAACTCCCCCAAACAAAGTTCCCCACCACCCATGAACACGCTATGAGAAGCGCCGATATGGCTCATTGTTAGAACATTCCAAAAAACGACCAAGCCTCTAAAACTGGGGAATTTTAATTATAAAATCCTGTTGCAACAAACGCTGTTTCTTTACCACCCTTCCCCCAAGAGAAAACCCTTATGCCTTTTATCCAAAGGAATAAAATTCAACCAGTCCCATCCATTGGGAAGAAAATCATCAGATCAAGACACTCACTTAAATTCAATATCTTTGAAGAGAAACAAAGATGTCTATGATAATACAAAACTCTCTAAAAATTAGAATACCCACTATGCAAGAGAGGAATCTCACTTTGTACTGACACTGTCTCCATTCAAGAACTGACTCTTCTAGCAGCCTGTCGTGGTGGTAAAAATATTAATATTTAAGATTTGAGAGGTCTGGCTTAGAAGTTTATCCTAACTAAAAGAACATTCCTTTCAACTAAAAACTAACAGTGTGTGATTGTTCCCAACTGCCCACTTCGGAGCTAAGATAACTTGGGATGGGCCACTCCTATAGGCTCCTCCAAGAGCCATCTCTCCATATTGTCGCGTTATTTACTGTTTGATTCCTTCTTAGGACCATGGCAGTTAGCAAGCTCATTAAAGAGTGCATCCCTCCTAGGGGTGGATACCTGGCTTTGTTAACATTGAAATTATTGTTTTTCCTCACCTCTTTCCTTTTTCCCCTGAAACAGTATTTAGGTTGTGTCTCTGCAATGACTTGGAGAGAACAGGGGAGCAGAGGGGGAGATGCTATTCTAAATGTTCTCTGTGATCATAGTTAATAAAGCTTCTGTCCGACCTGTCCTAAATTGTACTTGTGTTATTACACACTTGGGCTCACCACATCTCCAACACCACAATAATCAGGAGTGGCAACAAACCCAATGTGAATGACATTTTTTGGGAGCTGGGGGTATTTTCTTGATCTTGCAGTCAAAAACTCTGTAACCCTAGCTCATACAGATTGCTGTGCTATTCCTGCCTTCTGCTTAAGGTAGAATCTAACACTAACTATTATTCCCTAAAAAAAAATGATGAAAGAATACACTTTTACATACAAACAATTCACTTTTCGCGCCCCCCCCTTCTTTGCACAGAATGGCAAGAACCACACATCTCACTTCCTCTAATCATCATTTTATTTCACAGATGATAAACAAGCGTTACTTCTTTTTCCCCAAAAAGGCACAAGCCTTTCAGACTTGCACAGCAGCAACCCTATAAACTATTATTTTCCAATTAGCTGCTGCAACAGGCAACATAAGATTATTTTTTTTCATCAAAGCACTTCTTTCCAAATACTCTAGCTCTGTTGTGATTTCCATCTTCAATCTGCCTATTCTGTTTCAGGTAAAAAAGGATATACTAGCTAAAGCATCCCATTTGCTTTATTACTCAAACATGAATACATTAGGCACCACAACCAATATTGCAGGTCAGATCAAAAGCCATAGACAGTAACTGAAAGTAAAATAAAGAGGTCTTATTCATAGTATCGTTCAGGTTGGAAAAGACCCTCAAGATCATCAAGTCCAACCATTAACCTAGCACTGCCAAGTCCACCACTAAACCATGTCCCTAAGCACCACATCTACACATATTTAAATACTTCCAGGGATGGGGACTCAACCACTTCCCTGGGCAGCCTGTTCCAATGCTTGACAACCCTTTCGGTGTGGAAATTTTTCTTCTTATCTCCTCTCTACCTCTCCCCTAGCACAACTTGAGGCCGTTTCCTCTTCCTCTTGCTTGTTTCCTGGGAAAAGAGACCGACCCCCACCTCACTGCAACCTCCTTTCAGGTAGTTGTAGAGAGCAATAAGGTCTCCCCTCAGCCTCCTTTTCTCCAGGCTAAACAACCCCAGCTCCCTCAGCCGCTCCTCATAAGACTTGTGCTCTAGACCCTTCACCAACTTCACTGCTGTTCTTTGGAAACCTCAAATGCCAAAGCCCATTCTAAATAAATCTTCAAAATGGCTTGTACAGGCTTCCCTGTGAAATACGGGAGGATAAAATGAGAGGAAGGAAAGGAGCAGGGAATAAACAACATTTTAGATCACTGTTTGGAGTCTGAAGAGGGAGGAAACGGGATGGAGCAAGATGGAAAAGCCTGAGGAAGAAAGGTCTCTATTATTAAAATGTTTACCTCCTGTTGGAAACATCTCTAAACAGTCTGGCAGCAAAACCCCCAGGACTTGCTCACTTGAGAACGTGCCAAAGGGAGATTTCTTCCAGAGCAGACTGGCTGCTTCTGAATTATTGCCTCATCTAGAGCAACAGTCCAGATGCCAAAATATCAAGTGGCTTAAGCTTGCTCGACCACCAACCTGGCTGAAAAGCTGTACTGTTTATGCAGAGCGTCTCAATAGTCGCCTTCAGTCACACAGTTACTATCTGTTCCTGCTTCTTGAAAAAGCCACTGAATACACCTCTTCCCACATAGGTCAGTACATGCTACATTTTCTGTGCCTGTTTAGACTCATACAGAGCATCTGTCTTGATATGTGAAGTTTTATCAGCTCTAGCAGGTTTCTGTTAAAATACGGGGCAAACAAAAACCCTAACCATTTTGCACTGGGGACCTGGCACAAGGCCCTCAGCCACGGCCCAGGGGAAACAGTCTGCAGGGCAGAAAACACTTCCTTACCCACACCTTCCCCTGGCGGCCCCCTGCAACTGCAGTCCCACGTTTTCTTGCCCTGCCAACCCTAACTGAAGAACTTGGCTGCCCTGGGCCTCACGTCCCCAGCCATGTCTCAGGTTTAAGAGTTTGCAAGGAAGAAAACTTAGAATCATAGAATGTCCTGAGTTGGAAGGGACCCACAAGGATCATTGAGTCCAACTCCTGTCCCTGCATAGGACAACCCCAAAAATCACACCGTATGTCTGAGGGCATTGTCCAAATGCTTCTTGAATGTTGTCAGGCTTGGTGCCATGACTACCTCCCTGGGGAGCCTGTTCCAGTGCTCCACCACCCATTGGGTGAAGAACCTCCTTGTGAGGAAGCTGTAGACCTCAATGAGGTCTCCCCTCAGTCTCCTCTTCTCCAGGCTGAACAGACCAAGTGACTTCAGCCACTCCTCGTACAGCTTCCCCTCTAAACCCTTCACCATCTTCGTGGCTCTCCTCTGGACACTCTCTAGCAACTTCGTATGCTTTTTGTACTGTGGCGCCCAAAACTGCACACAGTACTCAAGATGAGGTTGCACCAGTGCGGAGCAGAGCGGGACAATCACCTCCCTCGACCGGCTGGCAACGCAGTGCTTGATGCACCCCAGGACACGGTTGGCCCTCTTGGCTGCCAGGGCATACGTGGCTCATGTTCAACTTGCCATTGACCAGAAACCCCAGATCCCTCTCCGTGGGGCTGCTCTCCAGCCTCTCGTTCCCGAGCCTGTATGTACATCCAAGGTTGCCATGTCCCAGGTGCAAAATCTGGCACTTGCCTTTGTTAAACTTCATACAGTTGGTGATTGCCCAGCTCTCTAATTTGTCTAGATCTCTCTGCCCTCGAGAGTGTCAACAGCTCCTCCCAATTTTGCGTCATTGGCAAACTTAGAGATAGTAATCCTTCAAGTCCCACATCCAAGTCATTTATGAAGACATTAAAGAGCACTGGCCCTAAGATGGATCCCTGCGGAACCCTGCTAGTGACTGGTTGCCTGCCCAATGTAACCCCATTTACTATAACACTTTGAGCCCAACCCGTCAGCCAATTGCTCACCCATTGCATTATGTGTTTATCCAGCTGTATGCTGGACATTTTGTCCAGGAGGATACTGTGAGAGACAGTATCGAAAGCTTTGCTGAAATCCCAAAAGATTACATCAACTGGCTTCCCTTGGTCAACGAGGTGAGTAACCTTGTCATAGAAAGAAATTAAGTTTGTTAAGCAGGACTTTCCCCTCATGAATCCGTGCTGGCTGAGACCAATGACTGCGTTGTCTTTCAGGTGTTTTTCAATAACTCCCAGAATAATCTTCTCTATAATTTTGCCAGGTACAGAGGTGAGACTGATAGGACTGTAGTTACCAGGGTCATCCCTGTTGCCCTTCTTGAAGACTGGGAAAATGTTTGCCAGCTTCCAGTCAATTGGGACCTCTCCAGATTCCTAAGAGCATTGAAAAATCACTGAGAGGTCTCGCTATGACATCGGCCAGTTCTTTAAGTACCCTTGGATGAATCCCATCGGGCCCCATTGACTTATAGGGATGCAGCTGGAGCAGCAAATCCCACACAAGTTCGGGGTTGGTTGAGAGTTTATCATTCTCGCAGTCATGGTTCTCTAGCCCAGCTAAAGACCATCATCGGTGTTGAAGACCAAGGCGA